TGTGTATGCCTGTATATGTATATGTCTGTGTGCATGCGTGTATGTATATATGTATGTGTGTATGTATGCTTGGATGCAAGATCTATGTATGTATGTATGCATGATGCAGGACCTATGTATGTATGCATGTATGTATGTATGTCTTTGAACAATGGTCCAAACCACATCACTTATTGCAATAGAAAAAAACTGTGGTAAGTATGTATGAAAAAATCTAAAATATGAAAAAAAGTCAAAAGTCAAAATCATGACGATCGATTCCTGATATCTGGAACTAATAATACAATATCAGAATTAAAAGACAAAATAAATAAACTTACATCATACAACTTTATCAATAGGGAAAAAAATATTAAATAATATTGAACATTTCATCTCTAGGGGAAAAAATGTAAATAAACATACAACATCCTCTTTGATAAAAAGTTAATGTTAATCTTCCTCTCTAACAGCATACAACTTTATCAATAGGGAAAAAAATATTAAATAATATTGAACATTTCATCTCTAGGGGAAAAAATGGAAAAAATATTAAGTAATATTGAACATTTTCTTCCATCTTCGGCCTTTAATGTAATCCAGACTGAGTCGACGTGAGAAAACTGACATGAACTCCCAAAAGCGGACATTTGATGGACATGAGGAGGAGGCCTAATAAATCATATTCAGGGAGTCCACCAACTTGTTCTCATAGCATATTTTTTTTTTTTTTGGGTGGGGTGGGGGTAAGTGTGTGGGATGGGGTGGAATGGGGGTATTTTCTAGTTTTTTTTTTTTATTTTTTTTTTTTGGGGGGGGGTGGTGTGGTTGGGGTGGGGTGGAATGGGGTATTTTCAAGTTTTTCTTTTTTGTGGGTTGGGGGGTGGGGTGGGGGTGGGTGTGGGGTGGGTGGAATGGGGTATTTTTCTAGTTTTTTTCTTCTTTTAGGGTGTGGGGGGGGTGAAGGTGGGGGTGGGTGGAATGGGGGTATTTTCTATTTTCTTTTCTTTCTTCTTAGGGTGTGGGGTTGGGGTGTGGGGTGGGTGGGGTGGTGGGGGGGGTAGATCTCGAGGAAGAATCTTGGGTGATTTGTTATACTCTCGTGGGTGACGGTCGGAAGCTTCTCTTAATAAGGCTGTTGTATTTAAGCCATCGTTAGCCTCAGTTTAGAACACTGTGCACATAAACATACAGATACTTACAAACATATATACATACATACATACATACATACATACATGCACATGTACATATATACATATATATATATATATATATATATATATAATATATATATATATATGTATATGTATATATATATATACATATATATATATATATATATATATATATATATATATATATATATATATATATATATATATATATATACATATATGCATATGTATACATATAAATAGACATACACATACATACACACACACACACACGCATATATATATATATATATATATATATATATATATATATATATATATAATATATATTATATATATGATTATTAGAAATTATCTACCTATCTTCGTGTGTTGTGTATGTGTTTGTGTGCGTGCTATTGTAATTTATATTAAGGAATATGCTTATCATTTAATAATATTGGTATATACAAATATACAAACACAATACAAAGTTTTCTCACCTTTCATGGCGATGAATTCTTTCATTCGTGACTCATCCACAAAGGAAATCATTAAAGAAGTGAAAGAATGAAAGATAGAAAAGAGAAAGAGAGAGAGAGAGAGAGAAAAAAAAAACGAAACGATATTCAGCGAAAAAAAGGAAAGTTTTCCACTAGCTCGAGGTCCCGAGTTCACGTATCAAGTTTCCATCTAAAGTTTTTTCACAGATATTCCCACACAAGGCCCTCTCCCTCCCCCCTCCCCCTCCCTCTTCTCTCTTTCCCCCCTCCTGTCCATCCCCCTCCCTCTTCTCTTTCCCCCTTCCTCTTCCTTTTTTCCCCTCCCTCTTTCCCTCTTTTCTTTCACCTATCCCTCCCTCTTCCTCTGTTTCCCTCCTTCCCTCCTATTCCTTCCTTCTCCCCTCTTCTCTTTTCCTCTCCGTCTTTTCCTCCTCCTATCTTCCCTTCTCTCTCCCCCCCCCTTCCTTTTACTATTCCTCTTCCTCTTTTCCTCTTTCCTATTCCTAGCGGACGGGAGAGGAGGAGAAGGTAGAGGAGAGGAAAAGAAGGAGGGAGGAGGGAGGGAGAGGGATGTTGAAGAGGAAGAGGTGGAGGAGAAGGATGGGGAATGGAGGAGAGGAGAAGGAGGAAAAGGAGGAGAAAAGAAGAAGAAAGAAGAAGAGAAGAAGAAGAAGAAGAAGAAGAAGAAGAAGAAGAAGAAGAAGAAGAAGAAGAAGAAGAAGACGACGACGACGATAAAGAAGAAGATAAAAAAGAAGAAGAAGAAGAAGAAGAAAAAGAATAAAGAGAAAGAGAAGGAGAAGAAGGTGAAGAAGAAGAAGAAGAAGAAGAAGAAGAGAAGAAGAGAAGAAGAAGAGAAAGAAGAAGAAGAAGAAGAGAGAAAAAGAATAAAAGAAAGAGAAGAGAAGGAAGAGAAGAAGAGAGAGAAGAAGAAGAAAGAAGAAAAAGAAGAAGAAGAAAGAAGATAAAGAATAAAGAGAGAGAAGAAGAAAGAAGAAGAAGAAGAAGAAGAAAAAGAAGATAAGAAGAGAAAGAGAAGGAGAAAAAAGTGAAGAAGAAGAAAAAGAAGAAAGAGAAGGAAAAGGAGGAGGAGGAGAAAGAAGAGGAGGGGAAGGGAAAGAAGGGAGGGAGAGGGAGTCTGAGAAGACGGTACCGGAAGTAAAGCATTTGTTCTTCATTTTGTCTTGTGTATTTTTTTTTCTTTTTTTGGTTTCATTTATAGGCCTATTTTTTTGGAAATATTTAAAGATCGCTGAAACATTATCGCCACGAGGTACTGCCTTTTGTTAATGATAGTTGTATTGATGATTATAATGATAATATTAACAATGACGGTAATGATAATGATAATGATAATAATGATAATGCGAATAAAGATGATGATAAGAATAATAATGATTAGAACGATATCGATAGTAATGATAATAATGATAATGCGAATAACGATAATGATGAGAATAATAAGGATAATAACAGACAATAATAATGGTAATAACAGTAATAACTATGGTAGAGATAATGATAAAAGTAATAGTAGTCGTAAAAACAATGAATATGATAATATCAATGATAATAATTGCGGTAATGATAGTTATGATAATAATAGTAATGGTAATAGTAATCATTATGATGATGATAGGAATAAATATGATAAATATGATAGTAATGAAAATATAGTATGATAATAAGGATAATAATTATAATAATAATAATTATGATAATGATACTGATAATGATGACGATGATAATAGTTATAATGTTATAAATAATAATATCAAAGCAAGAATTGATGATTATTTTTGATATCATCATTATTATTATCATAATAATTATCATCATCATCTTATCATTGTTATCATTGCTATTGCCATCATTATCAACCGCCAGTGTGGCATAGCTTCAGAGTGCCAGAGCAATGGGGGGTCAGGGTGCCAGAGCAGGTGGAGTCAGGGTCTGTGTGTCTTAGTACTTGCTGTCTTCTATATCTTTATTCTTATCTGTACTGATATCATTATCATCATTTTAAGTATCGTTATGTGTCCATCGAGATAAGCGTGCCAATGTAGTGTGAAATAAGGGTGCCAAAATGGTGTTGATTTAGGTCAGGGCTGTGTGGAGTCAGGCGAGGGTGCCAAAGTGTTGTAAGGTCTGGGCACCAAGTTGATGTGAGGTCACGTCGGGTAAGGGTGCCACTGTGGTATAAGGTCAGGGTGTTATGGTGCTTTTTGAATCAAGGTGCCAGGGTGGTGTGGGGTGAGGGTGCCAGAATAGGATAGGGCTGGTGCCAGGATGATGCAACGTCAGGGTGCCAGGGGTAGGTGAAAGGCATCAGGTGGTATAGGTGCAGGTGCCAGAGTGTTGCGGGTTCCGAGTTTCATGATGATGTGGAATCAAGGTGCCAGAGTGGCGTGAGGTTAGGGTGCCAGCCAGGGTGGATAAGGGTGTCAAGATAGTGTGGATAGGGTGCCGGGGTGATAAGGCGCCAAGATAGTGCGTTTCAAGGCACCGGGATAGTGTGGGGATAAGGGTGCCAGGATAGTGAGAGGTCAGGGTGCCAGAGTTGTGCGAAATCAGGTTGCCAGTGAGAGATCAGAGCGCCATGAAGGTCTAGGGTGCCAGAATGGAGTGCGGTCAGAGCGCCTAGCGGAGGGCGGTGGCTCTACCCTCAGGGTGCCGTTCCTGCCACGGCGCTATAAGCCTGACACGTTAGAATTAATGAGCGGTGAAAAACGGCACCATTAGCCCGGACCCTCCACTTAGCCGTGGCACTCCGGGCGCTGAGAATGGCACTGCAGCACCACCGGGAGATGCTTCCTTGGACAATTACCGAACATCACTGCTGCCGAAAGACATCACGGTGACTTTGAGGTGCATCTGCTTCTTTGTTTTTCATTTTTCTGTCTCCGTTTTCCTAATTGTATTTCCAAAATGTTGTGATTTCTCTTCTTTATGAGGTTGTGTTTTGTCAGACTTTCTGTTGGGATGTCTCTTCATTATCCATTGTCTTTCCCATCGTCTCTCTCACGCACTTTACTCTCACTCTCTCTTTCTCACTCTTTTTCTCAACTCAGTCACTCTGTCTCCGTTTCTGTTTCTGCTTCTCTCTTTTTTTTTCTCTCTCTTTCTCACTCATTCTCTCAGCTCACTCACTCTCTCTGTCTCTGTTACTACCTCTCTATCTCCCTCACTCACTCAATCAGTCTCTCTTTCTCTCTCTCTCCCTTTCCCTCAACTCAGTCTCTCTGTCTGTCTCTGTTTCTGTTCTCTCTCTCTCTCTCTCTCTATCGGTCTGTCTGTTTGCTTTCCGTTATTTCTCTCTCCATTTTAGTCCCCTCCCTTGCGGATAAATGAAACACAAATATAATATATACCTTTTTTTATTATTTGACAATATTGTTTTACTTTTTATTATCTGACAATTTTCCCTCGACGTTTAGCAGATCTCCAACCATTAAGAAGCTAAAGAGGCTGACGAGGGATAGTAATTATAAATACACGATATATACAGCTGGTTTTGATATATTTATATATTTATATATATATTTACAGTAGCATACTTAGCTGATTACTGTACAAAGCGTATTAATGACAATATTACAAGTATCATATTTATATTAACTGATCACCGAAGTTGAAAATAACACTGTAAATAACAAATGAATGTCCACTTGCCTTCCTATCTTCCTTTTTTCTCTCTTCATTGTTTGTTTCTCTATTTCCTTTTCTTCTCCAGTTCATTTCAACCAACACATAAAATCCCAATACATACATATATATCTTTACCTGCATAAATTTCTGAATATAATTTCGCACATTAATATCCACTGTTGATGGTTGCCAATTAACATTTTTCATTGTACATACTAACATGTCATTGCGAGTCAATAGCAGAGAAGACATCAACCATATGTCACGAGATATTCCCGTGTGACATTCTTAAAAGCCTTACATATCACAGCCTATACATTATCTGGAGTTAGCGAGAAATTGCAAATCCTGTTGCATACACTGATCTTTAGCTTATTTTCCCTCCAGTTCCATGATTATTGCCGATTCTGTTGTCAGCGTTTGATATGTCATCTTCTTTAATGCACTTTCACCACTGTTGATTCATTATCATTCACACCAACATCAGATAAGGTTCAGCAGCTGTCACACTTAATACTTCAGTTGTCCTTATCATCTTCATCTACATCTCAACACTCTTCCGTTAATTATCGCAAAGTGTCTCTCACTGTGAGTGGTTTTATTTTGGATTTTGGGCACCATTCTTTGCTATCTTTATTTATATTTTTGATTATTAGAATTTTTTTTACAAAAGGAAGGAAGTATTCTTGTTATATTTTCCAAACTGGTCTTCGCTGGCAACATTCTTATCACGGTCACTGAAGCTTCCTTTCACTTGCCGTTCGTCACAACCAGACACTTGGGAATTCGCTAGCAAGATTCACCTTTACTAAATAACCATTCATTTCCATCCAGCGAGTGAGGTGGATATTGTAGAGACGACTGAACACATCGGTTTTACAGCCGCGCTTAAGTACAGTGTTAAATATGTCAAATTTACTGTCATTAAGTCTCTCTCTCGCAGGTCACTCAAACGACAGCGATTTGATGACCACAAGACCACAGTTTCGGCCGTATTTACACATCGGGAAAGGCAACTGCAACTGCCTTTTGCCACGGGGCGCTTTGAGCGGCGCCGTGGCGGTCTCTGCAGTTGCGGGAGGGCGCGGGCGTGGCGCGGGAGGCGTCGCGTCATCGACATCGGCGCGGAGGCACAATGGAGGTCCCGCCACCTCTTGGCCGCCGCCGACACCTCAGCCCGCCGAAGAAGGGCCACGTCGCACGCACGGCATGGCGTCCGCAGCCTCCTCCAGGCCCACCCGCACCCGCGGGCGGCCGCAGCAGCCGCGGGGAGAGAGCAGGTAGCAGCGGAAGAGAAGGACTGCGGGAAGTTGGTCGCTTTCGGTTCGCTGGGCGGCGGCGCCGATCTATCTGGAGGAGTAGTCGTGGTAGGTCGGCGGCTGGCGGTAGAGCTGCGAGTTGAGCTGCGGCGGCGCGGGGTACGGCGGCGGGTACACGGGCGAGGTGCGCGCGTACGGAGAGCCCCGCGCCTTCACGCTGCCGTAGTTGTAAGGGCCGTACATGGGGCCGTACGTGCACATGTCGCCCGCGTACGGCTGGTTGAGGGGCGCGCACTGGCCGCCGCCCGCGCCCACGCCGTCCGCCCGCGAGGTGGAGGTGAGGCCGGGCGTGAGAGTGGGAGGAGAGCCCTGCAAGAGCCCCGAGGGCGTCATGGCCGAGCCGCCCATCATCCGGGAGACCAGTCCTCCGTCTGCGTCGCACTCGTCTGCAAGGAGAAGGCAAGGGTGAGAGGAGGGACAAAGGGCGCGGGCGGCGGCGCGTCACAGCGGCCCGCGAATCCTGACTGGCGCGAGGGCGTGAGGGCGTCCGGGCCAGCCTGGCGGGCTATATGTTGACACAGTAACTCAACTACTCGTGTTGCGCTGCCTCCGTCCTGAGTCACGCCGCGCCGCATCCGAACACGTGCGAGCCTCGTCAAAGGGACCGGGGACGCAAAAACGCGCGAAGGAGGTCATCAATATCATCGCCAAGGCATTCGCAAAGCGTAAAAGTGGACAGATTTGCATACACTTTGCTTGGGGTAAAAATTCATCATGGGCTGGAGCTACTGACACTAATGAACTACTTTTGAACGTTTAATTGATGGCATTCATAACCACGAAAAAGAAAAAAATGGAAATGAGACAAAAGAGAAACGGACGAAAGAAGTCAGAGACATCATCACCCCCCCAAAAAAAAAAAAAAAAAAAATCAAGAAAAAACAAACTAAAAACTAAAACTAAAACTTCATTCATTCACACACACACACGAGAATAAACAAAACAAAATTAAAAATACTAAATATGAATATGAGAGAAAAACAGTGTTTGTTTACGTGGCCCCAGAGTCTCCTGCTGGGTCAGTCAGGGTCAAAAAGGCCATACCAGGAGGGGGGGGGGGTATTTTTTCCTCTTATTCTTACCCTGATATTTATTTTAGTGGGAGAGTAATAAGATGCGAATAAAAACTGGGAAAAAATAGATTAAGATATAAAGTAGGAGGATTAAGTAGGAAAGGAAAGGAGAAGAGAAGGGAGAGAGATGAGAGATAAGAGAAAGAAAGAGAAGGAGAAGGAGAAAGGAGAGGAAGGAAGGGAGAGGGAGAGGGAGAGGGGAGGGAGAGAGGGAGAGAGGGAGAGGGAGGGAGAGGAGAGGGAGAGGGAGGGAGAGGAGAGGGGAGAGAGGAGAGGAGAGGATGAGAGAGAGAGGAGAGAGAGAGAGAGAGAGAGAGAGAGAGAGAGAGGAGAGAGAGAAGAGAGAGAGAAGAAGAGAGGAGAGAAGAGTGAGAGAAAGAAGAAAAGAAGAGAGAGAGAGAAAAGAGAAGAGAAAAGAAAAGAAACAGAAAGAGAGAAGAGAAAAAAAGAAAACAAGAGAGAGAGACGAGACGAGAGAGAAGAGAAAAGGAGAGAGAGAAAACAGAAAGAAAAGAAAGAAAAAAATCCGCAAAGCAAAAGAACAGTAGCCCCTACAAAAAAGAAGAAACAAAAAAAGTAATAAAAAATAACCGCCGAGAAACAGAATACGCCATAAAACACATATAAACACCCTCCCGTACACGCCCATCCGCCCATAAACAAGGCCATGGGCGGGCTGGACTGACCATGAATCGCGGGCGGACAAGAACATCATATCCAACATTACTTGTGCAAGGGGCGGGGCGGGTATGGGGGCTGTGACGTCACGGTAATGTTTTGAAGGGGGGCAGGGGTGGGGGGAGGGTTCTGAGGGGGGAGGGAGGGGGAGGGGGAGGGGAGGGGTTCTGAGGGTGGGGAGGGAGGGAAGGGGTGGGGGAGGGAGGGGTTTGAGGGGGGGCAGGGTAAGGGGGGAGGTGGGAGGGTAGGGGGGGGAGGAGGTTCTGAGAGGGGAGGGGGTTCTGAGGGGGAGGGGGCATGGTATTCTTAAAGGGGCAGGGGGGGGGGAGGGGTTCTTAGGGGTTCTGAGGGTGGGTGGGGAGGGATTCTGAGGGGGGCAGGTGAGGGAGGGTTCTGAGTGGATGAGGGTGGGATGGGGGGAGGGTTTTGAGGGGTGAGGGTGAGGTGAGGGATTCTGAGGGGTGGGGTGGGGTGGGTTCTGAGGGGGGGAGGGTGTTCTGAGGGGGTGGGGTTCTGAGAGGGGGTTCTAAAAAGGGGGGTGGGAGGGTTCTGGGGGGATGGGGGGGTTTCTGGGGTGGTGGTGGGTTCTAATGGGCGTGGAGGAGGGGAGGGCGTCAGAAGAGGGTGGGGTGGAATGTTTAGAAGGAGGGTTGGGGGTTCTGAAGGGGAGGAGGGTGGGGCAGGGGGTAGGGAAGTTGACATGAATTGACGTGAGGTATTTGAGGGCATCTTACTTCTCCATATGTAACAAGACCTTAACTTTGTTGTTAATGTGTGTTAGCAAAGGTAATTACTATGGTAACGATTCAAAATTCTGCTAACTCAAAAATTAAAACAATTATGATAAAAAAAATCTTATATAAAAATGACAATTGACAATAAAATGACAATAAAAATGATAATAAAATGACAATTCTGTCATTACAATTGTAAATATGATGATACTAATAATGAAAATAAAAATTATAATGTTACTAACAATGATAACAACAATGATTATAGTCAGGACGATAATTATAATAAACAAATAATAGTGTTAATGAGAGCACCAACAACAACAGTACTAATAATTATGATGACAATATTAATACGAACGATAACAATGATAATGTTGATGATAATAACAATAATGATA